TAATGCACTGGCAAAACTTAGATTTTACCAGCCAGCTACTTGATAAGGGTTAAAAAAACTGGTCTCGTCAAAAAGTAATGACTGAAGCAACCATGTTGGTGGGTATCAAAATACAAGGGATACTTTCACGTACTATGTCTTACTGCTGTAGGATGAGCCAGCTTCGGTAACGTTACGGATTGTAATGCCCTGAGAACAGAGGTCCTAAGTGAAGTTTGCACACACGGAGTTTCAGCTCTGATCCCGACGCCAGACACAATAAAACGAACGTAGGTCCACGTCCGATTGGATGATACTGATCGATTTTTGAGGTGAGCGTCCGAACGGCATCACCATTCGGGGTAAGTTGATGATGCTAGGTTTTGTTTAGTTATTTCACTAACTCGACAGAACCATTGGATTCGACATGGTAGAACAAAACTAGGAAGCTTTCAAACATCGAGTGTCAAGTGGTCACTTTCCATACTTTTTGGGGACGCTTTTTGGCCGAAAACTCCGATGTTCCGAGCATCCCTATTTCTTACCGACTAGGTTTTATATCCGTGACCTACTAGTCATCATCATCATCATCGTCAACTGTAATAACCGCGTACTCGTCGTACAGTGGTTGTAGCTGCCGCAGTTTCGTTCACCGATGATTTGGGAGAGGGGGTAGGTAGCTGCACATTGCAGGCGGGAGCTGATAAATTGGTGCATAAATCCAGCATTGTCAGTGGGCTGTCAAGTGGGGTGGGGGGAAAGGAAAGGAGCTATGCATTGAAGGCAATAGCTTGGATGCACGAGCGCCACTGAAGCTGCGAATGGGCCATGTCTGACAATGTCTCATTGATGTGGCCTCTGGCTCTCTTCCACTACCACCCACTAGTGACAAGATACCAGTTTGGAATAAGAGAAGTTTTGCGCTCCCCGTCCAGAGCATTTGACAAAGTTGGAGGGAAGCTGTCCCACCGGTGCGTTCGTTTGTTTTCCCTTTTGGCTAGGGATACAACAAATTCAGTAAGTTCATTTCAAAGTGGAATGAGGACGTAAACCGCTGAAGAAAGCCATTACATGAGTGAACCCACAGTTCGGAATTGTGAAAGAAAGAAAAATTGTCCTGAAACAGGGACTGAAAAATACGGTATATCAGTACGGTGCTCATACAAGCGACGACCTCTGTGGGTATCATCATCACCATCACCATCCGCAGCAATATACGGGCAGTAAGTACTGGTGTTCAACTGCCGTATAACCAAGAAGAATGCCCTAGCAAATGATCGGACGAAAGATAAGGAGGTCCTTGGTGGAAAACAGCTCAATGTCTTTGAAGAGAGGAATCAAGAACGAGGGACCGTACCATCGGACGGTAGTGAGATGAACACATTTGAGCATTGTATAGGAGCAAGATGCGATTGACGGAGTTGACCTAAACGAAAGATCAGGAGGTCCTTGGTGGAAAACAGCTCAATGTCTTTGAAGAGAGGAATCAAGAACGAGGGACCGTACCATCGGACGGTAGTGAGATGAACACATTTGAGCATTGTATAGGAGCAAGATGCGATTGACGGAGTTGACCTAACGTCATTTATGAATCTCATCCAACAAGACTCCAGTTTACAAGGGGTAGGAACGTAGAAGCACGTTGATTTTGTGGCTCTTATTCGACGTTCCCCTACAAAATTTCAAAGCAATCTTCGCAGGGGAACCACGACAGACTGCAGTGCTTCAGAAGGAGATAGATAAAGGAGGAGTGGAATTATACCATTCTATGAACGACAGAGGGAAACAAGTGGCCATTCTGAGCATATTTTTAGGAGAATGATGGAACATAAGCGAGAGGAAAAGATAACGCGTAATCCCAACCCCGAGTTCATTGTGGTGTAGAGTCCGATCGGTGACACAATGTTGAGAGGGAGGCAGCTGCTCTAGGGCCATTGGCAGTAGGCATCAGTCAGCAGCCGAGGTAAGGTCAGAAAACAGCACGACGCCTATTAAAGAAAATGATAACTAACATGGATACAGAGTCGATTATCCCAGCCCTCGTGCTTCCTTCGGGTGGCATGGCAGCTAGGCACCGGAAGGGTGCTACAGCTGAACGCTTTGTCTTTTTTTAGCTGCTCTAGGGCTATTGGCAGTAGGCATCAGTCAGCAGCCGAGGTAAGGTCAGAAAACAGCACGACGCCTATTAAAGAAAATGATAACTAACATGGATACAGAGTCGAGGTCCATGGTTAGGCCAAATTTCATATGAAACTGCCCCATGGACTCTTGCCACGCATTCACGAAGCCAATCAGCGAGTTATAGGACTAGGGGTTCCTAGACTTTCTAGATGGTCCAGGACTGTCATAAAGGACCATGTCAGGAACCCTCGAAAAACCTAAGAGGCAGTCTATTCTTGCCTATACCCACACATAGAACATCAGCAGAGAACTAGATTAGATTGGTGAAGCAAACGGCGAGAAGTTTAGTAGGCTTTGTAAAGTGAGAGAGAACCGCACAATCTTCATGAGCCCACAAGTCACCTATTTATGAGCTTTGTCTTCAATTTGGAAGTAACAAGTATGCGTGGTAACACCACCACTCAAATC